ACAATTTGTTCTCAGAGAAATCAATTGATTCTAACATTCTCATGTTGCCGATGTTTTCTGGGATCCTTCCAGTGAAAAGATTGTGTGATAAATTCAATGATTGTAACCCCTGGAGATGAGTTATTTCTGAAGGAATCTCCCCTGATAAGCGGTTGCCAGAAAAATCCATGATTTTCACCAAGTGAAGTATCTTGCTATATTCAAGCAACTGGCCTTTTTTCCAAACAACTGCTGTCTCACGATAAAGTTCTTGTGGGCTAAAAGTGATGTCTTGAATAACATAGCTGTAAGGGCAGAACTGTTCAGAGTTGTTTCTTATTGAGAGTAACATACTTATGTTACCAATACACCTTGGCAAGCTTCCAAAGAGGTTGTTATGAGCAAGGTCTAGAATTTGGAGAGAATTGAGCGAACACAACTCATTTGGGATATGTCCTGAATATTTGTTTGCACCAAGCTTCAAGATTTTCAGGCTCCATAGGCTACGACCTATCCATGCTGGGATGCTCCCATCAAATTCATTTTCACTAAGCTGAAGTATCTCCAACTTCGTGCAATTACTTAAAGACAATGGTATTTTTCCTGAAAGGTAATTTTTCTCAAGATGCAACGATCCCAATTTAGGTGACGTCCCAATAGACCTTGGAATTCCACCTGTTAATCTGTTGTCTGCCAGTACAATTGCCTCTAATTCTGACCACTTAGTCCAACAATCTGGTATCTCTCCAACTAAAAAGTTTTTTCTTAGGTTGAGAAAGCTAATGGCCATGGATTCATTTGTTTTGTAACACAAAAAGTGAAAAAGGGAACCTGAGAGACTATTTTTGGCAAGGTCTAAGGAGAACACATTGGAGGAGATGCGACCTAACGGACCAGTGAAGTTATTTGAGCTCAAATCAATAACAGAGTGGAAGGAAGCATTATTTAACATGGTTGGAAGTTGCCCTTGGATTTGGTTGTGAGAGATATTTAGATATATACATTGAGCTGAAACCTCCCAAAACCAACTGGGAATTGTATCTGAAATTCTTGAGTTTGAAATATCTAGATATTCTAGATATTTTTGAGAATGAAGCCATTGTGGAAACTGTGGACCTAAATGCCAAGATCCTAACCTCAAATCCAGAATTTGAAATTGAGGAAGCCAATTAGGTTTGACTTTCAAAATCATCAATGGGTTGTCATGAGCTTTGAAGGTTTTTAATTTTGTGAGGTTAAGAAAGTGAATTTCTGAAATAGTACCCTCAAAACAATTATGTGAAATATCAACATCTTTCAACTTGGTAAGCTGACCAAATGACTTGGGAAGACTTCCATCAAAAGAATTATGTGAAATATCAACATGTTTCAAATCAGTAAGTTGACCAAATGACTCAGGAAGACTTCCATTTAATTTGTTTGCAGAAAGATTTAAAACTTTTAAGGATTGAAGCTCAGCTATGGATGTTGGAATAGGACCAGAGATTGAGTTTTCTGACATAGACAATTCTCTCAAATTTTTAAAATTCCCAAGTTGATTGGTTAGTTGCCCAAAAAGTTGACAATTGTCTAAATGCAACGATTCTAGTGAATTAGAAATGCATTTGGAAAAGATTTCTAAAATATGAGATATGTTTAGAGTCAAATTGACAGAAGAGAAACTCAAGAAACTCAGGTTGCAGAGTTTTTCTATTGACCTAATTGGGATTTCACCTTCAAATTCATTATTAGAGAGGTCAAGAAACTCAAGATGGCTTAAGTTGTCCAACAAATTAGGTACAAAAGAATTGACATAGTTGGACGACAAATCCAAATGCCTTAAAAAAGTCAAATTTTGAAGATCAAAAGGGATCGAACCTTCAAAATTGTTTGCTGATAAATCAAGAAAAATTAGTTTCTTTAGACCAAAGACCCAATTTATATTTGAAAAGTTAACAAGATTAGGATTTTTAGAAAGGTCAAGGATATCAAGAGATGATAAATTTACATTGGTAATGGGATGGACTTGATTATGGGGCCCTAGTTGACAATATGCCAAGTGTAATTCTAGCAAGGTAGGAAGTGTATTTACAACATGGAACCAATTGGATGCCTTGCTAAGGTTCACAAAATTCATGTTAAGGTAGTGCAAGGAGGAAAGGCCAGAGAACCAATGAAAATTCTCAACGTGTAGGTAAATATTTTCAGCAAGGTTGAGATATTTTAGATTGGAGAGATTCCCAAGATGATGGGGTACCTCCCCTGCAAATCTTGAATGGGAGAGGTTAAGGAGTTTTAGACTCCTCAAAGAACCAACAAATTTGGGAATATGAATTCCTCCAAAGTCATTGTTGCTAAGGTCCAAATAATGCAAATGCTTCAAATCGAGCAAGGAAGGACTTATCTTACCTCCCAGTTCCGATCTCTCATTAGCTTCATCATATTGATCAGTTTGAGCAAGATCATAATCCACAGTCGGATTTTGGAGATTGAGTTTCAGGACATGGCCGGTCACGTTATTGCAGACAACTCCCTTCCATCTGCAACAATCTTCATCATCAGCAACCCAAGAGGCAAGTCGGCCTGCAGGATCAACCATATCCTGCTTCAACTTCAAGAGGGCTTGCCTCTCCCTCTCTATGCA